AGAAGACCGATTGGAGGCCATCATGCTTGAGAAGAAGGCACTCCAATGGTGTATTCATGCTTATGGGCAAGATGTCTGAGGATTTTATTTGTTTGTGTTATCGACCTTTTTGTTTTATATGTTTTCTTCTGAAAGTAAATATTCATTCTTCTGCTTATTTTATCGTTGTTGCTATTTGTTATAACTCTCTTGTATTCAGAGGGGGATGCCGTTATTTTCTGTTATTTCTTTTTTATTGCTTCTTCTTTGTTGTGGAGAAATAAAGATACAACAACAATTATTGTAATGATAATGATGCGTACAGTGTTGTGTGTTATGCTTCTTGCATTGTATTGCACTTGCAGTTTCGTGTTGGCTACTACTGAGCCTCAAGGTGGAGTTAGCGAAGCTCAACCTGAAGGTGGTGGCCCTGTTGCTACTGAAGCAGCTACTCGTGGAGGTACTGGCCAGAGTGGGGGAAGTGATGGAAAAGGCGGCAGTGTTGGTGCGAAACCGGGAGCTGGTGTTGGAGGGAGTGGCCACGCTGGTACTTCTAAAGGTGACGAAGGTGCGGAAAATAAAGATAAACAAGGTCAAGGTGATGCCCAGGACCCTTTACAAAACCAGCTACCAGGAAAAAGTCCTCCGTCTGATCGTCTACCTGCCACTGTATCGCAACCTGTTTCACGAGATGAGGACATTCATGTTACTTCTTCATCAGACAATCAGAATGGACAAACTGTAGGTGGAGGTAAAGCAGCGTCGCAGGTCAACGAACAAGTGTCCACGAGAACGGAATCAGGAAATAATGGTGGATCCAATTCTGGAAGTGAACAGAATACTGTTGGTTCTCGCAATGCAGTGGAACCCAATGCAAATAGTGAAGAACAGAAGTCTGAAAATACACCAAGTTCCACCAACGAGAATGTTACGCAACGTAATAACGATGCAGGCAACAGTAATGCTGTACAGTCTCAAGGAAGCACAGACAAAGAATCTGAACCTGGGAATGTCACTACACCCAATACTAATGAAGAATCAACCTCAACAACAACAACAACAACAACACTTCCTCCTGAACTCACAAACAACAAGAAGGGTGATGCAGACAGCAGCAGCAGTATCATCAGTTCTGTGTGGGTGCGTGTACCACTACTGATTGTGGTTACACTGGCCTGTATTCTTGTGTACTGAACGGTGGGTCTCATCTGAGAGCAAATAATAATAATGGTTATCCTAACATAATTATATTTGCATACATCCCCCATGGTGAATGAATTAGCTAATAATCTGTTTACCAGCTTTCTCTTTTAATTCGAATTTCTTTTCTTCTGCTTTTGTGTGTGTGTTCATTTTCTATTAATTCCATTACTTGCTTTTACTGTTGTGTGTTTGCAGAAAACTGGGCGGTTCTGCTCACTGACGGTATACATCTCTTACTAGTACACCCAGATGTGTGTGTGTATAGTAATTTAATACATAACCTAGAGCCATGGGGTATTGTGTGTGTGTGTGTGTTCTTGGAGACTCTCTCTGTGTGTGCACCTGGGCTTGCACTGTGATGATGATGATGAACTTTTTTTGTAGTGAGGGAAAAGAACATCATAATAATAACAGATGAATTTATTTTTATAAATGCGTATACATACACATATAGACTTACACCCATAGTTGGTGTATATTTCTGTGTTTACTGGGTAAGTTGGGCTAATGGTTAATATCTGTTTCTTTGCTTCTTGTTTTGCTGGGGCATTGTGTGTTTTTGCCATGAAATGTTTTGGTATTCTGCTTTCTTCAGAAAAGAAAAATAATAATAACTGTTACACAGAAAGTAATGTTTTGCTATGTGCTGACCAACGAATGAAGATCTATGTATTTATGTGTTTCCTACACTTCTTGGTCGCACTTTTTTTCTTCCTTTCTTTCTCTTGCGGGCTTATTGAAATTTTCTTTTTAGCATTGGGTATTGTGTGTTTTGTTCCTTTCATTTGATACTATTTGAGTGATTGTTATGGCTTTATGTTTTGTTGTCTGTGCTTATATATTTTTTTCTTCTTGTATGGCATTGAATACCTTTTGTCGGTGTTTCTGTTCACTTCTTTTTATTTCTACAGGTCAGTGACACCAGAAAAGAAGAGCAAAGACTGTCATGATGCTCTTGCGCCACGTGCTGAGTTTGTTGGTTCTCTCCTTCTGTTGTGTATGTGGATGTGTGGGAGCAGATGCAGGAGGGAAAGCTCTTCAGGAACCTGAATCTACTGTCGATTGCAGTGGTGCTTCTGATGAGAGTACTTGTCGTTCTCGTGGAGAAAACAAACCTGCTGCTTCAAGTATTTCACCTGATCTTGGAACATCTAGTACTCATGATACTAATACTGCGTTGAAGCAGGAGCTGAGTAAGCAATTGGAACAAAAAGAACAGGAGACAAAGCGAGAAGGTGACAGAATACCAGGCCAACTTGAAGGAAATAAGGTTCAAGGCGAAACTATCGTACCTAATCCCTCTGGAAGAAGTACTACTGAAGATAATCATGAGCTAGGAACAAATCCAAAAGACGTTACTCAGAGTTCATTGCCTCAAGCTTCAGACGTCGTCCACCAACCCAAATCTCCTTCTTCATTGTCACCTCCCAATTCAGGTTCTACACAAGGAACAGGTGGTGGGACTTCGCATGTGCAGCCTGGCAGTAGTGATCTTGCTCGGGCTGCAGAGGATAAAGCGGCTGACGACAGTAAACGAGAGAACCCGTATACGACTGATAACGAACAAGAAGAAGGAAAGACGCAGGAAAAAGAGAATAACTCACATACTACTTCTCCTTCTGAAACCAATACAAATAATTCGGAACCACATGAAAGAAGTACGTCACAAGACCAGACACCCGCTACACAAGATTCTCAATCAGACACCAACACAAGGGAGTCCAACAACGCGGAACCCACGAACAATGACACTACCAATACACCCAATAATGATGAAGAATCAACCACCATCACAACACTTCCTCCTGAACTCACAAACAACAAGAAGGGTGATGCAGACAGCAGCAGCAGTATCAGCAGTTCTGTGTGGGTGCGTATACCACTACTGATTGTGGTTACACTGGCCTGTATTCTTGTGTGCTGATTATGGTGGTGGTGGTGGTGTGACTCAGGTCATCCTTTGTTTACTTTTTCTTTTTGCATGCATCTCTACAGTCTAACTAATCTTCCACCTGTTGGGATTTCTCTTCATTTTTTGTTTCTGAATGTTAATGTGTTTTGTGTGTGTTTTTGCTCTCTATGTTTATCCTATAATAATTATTATTGCTACTCCATTGTGTGTGTGTGTGTGTGTTCTTGGAGACTCTCACTCTGTGTGTGCACCTGGTCTTGCACTGTAATGATGATGATGAACTGCTTTTGCAGTGAGAAAAGAAATAATAATAACAGATGAATTTATATTTATAATTGCGTAAATATACACATATATAGACTTACACCCATAGGTGGTGTATATTTCTGTGTTTACTGGTTAAATTGGGCTAAAGGTTGATTTTTCTTTTTTGTTTGCTTTTGGTTTGCTAGTTCCTTTTGTGCTTTTGTGCTGCACTGTTATGATTGTCTACGTTGAATAGAGAAAAGAAAAGAACATTAAATGTAACACATAATTTTATTATTGCTTATAAGCACCAGCATACCCAGTCTTCTTTGTTGTTGTATGTTTATTGGGCATTCGTTGTGCTTTTAATTTTTTTCATTACTTCTTTTTTTTTCGGGTCTTTTTTTGCTGTGTTTCTTTATTGGATTCTTTATTGTTTATACTAGTTGTGTTGCTTAGTGTGACTGTTGTTTTTGTTGTCTTCTGTTTTACCACTATTTGTTTTTCTACCTATTGTATGGGATCTTTTTATTTTTTTTCTTTGTTACGTTTGTCCTTACCATAATGAAGTAGAACAACGAAGAATTACTCTTTCCATGATGATGCGACCTGGTGCGTGTTTGCTGGTTTTTCTCCTGAGTGTTGCCTCTGTCTGCGTGAAAGGTGACGTGAAACCCGCTGAGAAACTTTTACATGAAGCTGCTGCTTCGGAATGTCCAACTGAATCTCAAGGGCCTTGTCCAACTGAAGTAAAACCAGCAGTTCCTCAACCTCTTCCTGTTCAACAACCACAAGTACCTCGTGGTGGTGCTGATTGTACGACTGGCCCTCCATGTAGTACTAGTAGTAGCCGTGTTGCAACTACAGGTTCTCCTACTAATTGTGAAAACCCTGCTAAGAAGGAAGGTTGCCCTGAAAGTGTTCCGCAGACTGAAACCAATTGCGGTGAAGGTTCTGGTAAACCTTGCCCACCAGAGCAACAGGTTCTTACTCAAGCAAGAGAAGAACATCCTGTTGGACAAAGTCCTCGAGGTGATCGTGCTGTAAGTGGGTCTGAACCTCCAGATTCTTCCGGTACAAAAAGAGAAGATGGCACTGATCGTCCTTCCACAGATACTGATCCTTCTAACCCTTCTCCTAATGTTGCTGCTCCTGCACCTTCTGGTGAGAGTGTTGGTACGTCTGCAAGTGCAGCTCCACCTGAAAGCAGCGGCAACAGTGACGCAGGTGGCAATTCAACACAACCGGACGGTGACGCAACACAAACGCCTTCAGCCAATTCAACCAACGAGAGTGCAGCTGGTTCTGAAAATACAACAACGGGGAGTGAATCAACAAATAACCCAGAAGGTGCTGCAGAAAATACAGAAAACACGACCACCACCACCACAACAACAACAACAACACTTCCTCCTGAACTCACAAACAACAAGAAGGGTGATGCAGACAGCAGCAGCAGTATCATCAGTTCTGTGTGGGTGCG